CCGCGCACGCTGGCTGCTGGCTACACTTGGTAGCCCATGGCAACCCACTGCAGCAGGGGCTGCACCCCAGCTCCAGGTCGAGCTGTTGTTCAGCATCTTAGCTATAGAGGGCAGTGTCACTGGCCCTCACATGTGGGATCCGAACCGGGGCCCTCTGGCATCCCAAGCCAGTTCTTAACCAGCATGCCACTCGGCCGCCCTAATTTGCCTTTTTTGATGAATTAGTGAGCACATAGGTTGTCCAGATAAATTTTAAAAATGTATTGGTGGTTGTTGGGATGGGGAGGTTTAAACCTCCGTCGTGCACAGCTGATCTCATTCATTGCACACAAACTTTCAAATATCTTAACAGTTAAGTATCGTGACCCATCACCTCCCTATCTTCCCCCTCTACTGTAACCTATTGGCAGTTGTGTTTGTGACTTAGTACAGTAAAGATGTATTTTATAGCGGCATCTTTGTGTGCAATGAATGTGAGATCAGTTTTGCCCGACGGAGGATTAATGGGTACAGAGTTTCAGCTTTACCAGGTGAAAAGAATTGTGGAGATGGATGGTGTGGTGAAAGGTGGACATCATTACTTCAAGTGGTGTTGCTTTTATCAACCAGTTTGTGTACTTACTGACACATTTAAAAATTGGATTTCTTACTGAACATTACCAGCTTGGTCTCCACTGTAACTGTTTAGCAGAGATTTTTTTCCTTTACTTTCCTTACTCACATTTGCTTTTTTTTTCATTTGAAGTTGCCCTGTCACTCCTTGAGGGTACTTGGCTCCCGTTGCTCTTCTCTGATCAATAATTCCCTGAGCCTCAGTTCTTGGCCCAAAACTTTACAATTAGCCCTATTTAAAAGGAACATGTTCTCGAACAAGGTGGATTAAAAAGTAATACTTTTTATTAAAATTATTAAAATTTTTCACTTGGCTTCCTGTTCTTAGGGCAAGAACCAACCTAGTCTGTTACCATTCTTAAGGTTACTTTTGGACTGGGATGGGGTGGGGATAGGAGAATTGGCTTTTTCCTGTATGGCTTTCTGAATTGTTACCACTAAGTACTCAATAGAAAACGCCAAGCACATGATTCTCATTCTGTATCATGATCTTGGTAGGCTTTTTATTGATACATGCTTAATTAGGTCCTTGAGAATCAACCTTGCAAAGTAGATACTATCTACACCAACGAACAGACAAAGAAAGGAAGGCTCTCAGGGATGTTAATTTGCTAAAGCTCAAACAGGAAGTATCAGGATTCAAATTCCTTTGTCTCCAGTGTACCCATCACCAGCTTTAGAACATGACCGGTAACTGAAGCAAACCTGCCTTGGATTCCATTTCCGTTTTTCTCTCCCGCTCGGAGGAAACCACCCAGCTGAGTTTTGTTGCTTTATCATCCTGACTTCATAGTTTTACTCTGCATTCTTAAACAATATATTGTTTGGTTTTGTATCTTTTTGAATTTCATAAACATGGATTAATTTTTCATGTATTTCTGCAACTTCCTATTGTATTTTTCTGTAGTTAATTGAGATTCCACCCTTCTCTACACATCTGTCCGTTTTTTTTTCATTAAAACTTCAGGTTGCTGGTGTCTGGATAGGGTATACAAGGACTTTTTAAGTATATTTTTCTAGGGTGACTAGGGCATAGGAAGTATAGGGGACTGGTTAAGAAGATTCTGGAGATAGACTGAACACACTTTGTTACAATTTCCTCATTTGTAAATGGATAAGAGTGCCTACCTTTATGGATAGGTTTAAATATATGTAAATGCACTTAAAACTACCCTATTTAGCTATTAGCTACAATCATTTCAAATAGCTAAGTCATTAACTTGTGGGGCTTATGGAGCCTAGTCAGTACATCACCCACCCTTGAACCTCTGATATCACTGTTAGTCAACTTCATTTCTTATTCCTAGGGTCTCCTGTGCATTGTTACCCTTGTATGGTTTTCCCTTAGGTGTTGGGACCCTATTTCCTGTGCCATTTCCAAAGAATAAGGAAACATTCTAAGGGTTAAAGTACCTGCTGACTCTTTTTTTATTTTTTATTGTTAGTTTCAGGTGTACAGGATTCAATTCCATTGAATCCGTTTCCGCACTCTACTCCATGTCCCGAGGTTATATGTATATATAATTATAGTTGACATACAGTATTATTCAACATCAGCCTGCTGACTCTTAAAATGTTGAACTATATTGCACCAGTCAGGTGAACCTCAGGTGGAAATGGGTCACATTCTAGGCTGGCTACTGCCTGTCATTAAGCCATTTAATTTTTAAGAATGTAGTGCAGATAGAAATGTCAGCCAATTATCCCCAGTAATATTGCTGATGTCAGGTAATAAANCCAGGTTGAGCTGTTGTTCAGCATCTTAGCTGTAGAGGGCAGTGTCACTGGCCCTCATATGTGGGATCCGAACTGGGGCTCTGCTGCTCAGAGCTGGTGCTCCTAAGCGAGCTCTTAACCAGCTGAGCCACTCAGCCGACCCTCAGAATGGTTAAGGACTTATCAAATTATGTATTTTAAATATTTGCAGTTTATTATAGTCAGTTATACCTTAACAAAGTTTAAGAAGAAGAAGGGCCGGCTGAGTGGCTCAGTTGGTTAAGAGCTCGCTCAAGAGTTTGAGCTCTGAGCAACAGCGGTTCAAGTCAGCCTGAGCTGAGCAGCCGCTGAGCTGCCAACAGGTGGCAGGATAGCTCAGCTAAAAAAAAAAAAAAAAGAAGAAGAAAAAAAAAAGACATGAAGCTTAATATGCCTGACAGGTCTGCAGGCTCCAGCGGGGCGGCGAATTCAGATTTCACTGGTGACAGTCCCTGAGAGTGACTCGGACCCAAGATGGGACGCGTGAGGATGAGGGTGGAATCTAAGAGTGATTCACGAATCCAGAGGGGATTGGGCTACGGCAAGAGACTAGAAAGAGCGCTCAGCTGCGCCTGCGTCAGGCTGCGTTGGGGACTTTTTCCCGTCGGGCCAGATAGGTCACCTGTTTTTTGTTTTACAAAATTCACAAAACATCTCCTAATATTTGCCCACAGGAGTGCGAAGTATTCACTGATGGCTTCTCTTTCCCTTTGTTTTATTCTTGTTTGGACGAACGATGGAGGGAAATTTCGCGGGTGGAATCAGGCACCTAAGAAGACAGCTATGGCCGTCAGGCCCCCGACCTCACGCCACCATAAATAGCCTGGCCCCGCCATTGTCTTCCTTTTTGTGCGAAGAGCTCCTTGGTGGTGGTCCCGGGTGTTTTGTTGTGTGCCTGTCGCCTGCAGCGCAGCCTACCCCAATGGAAGGAATGGTGGAGGTTCTCAGCGCTCCGGCCATCTTTGCACGGCAGGTACCTCGGGGCCTTGGTTGATGAAGGGACCATAGTCTCGGCCTGAACAGGATGAACTACCGTTACAATCTAGAGTTTCTTATGTTTCAGTGAGGCCACTGCTTGGAAATGACCCAGCCTGGGGCGGGGGGTGGAGGGGAGACTCACCTGGAGTCGCTTCGGCCTTTGTTGACCCATTGGTTTCTTTACAGGGCCCTGATTTTCGCAGGCGTGTCCACGGCGCCACGAGGGTGAGTAGATTGTGCAAGACGGAGTGGTTGGTAGTCGCCTTGGGGACGGACTGAGGTGATGATGACTACAGGTGACTCTGAGTGTCTCGCTGACGCCATCACCGCAGCGCGCTGACTACCTTGCTCCCGGGGCTGGGATCCTGAGTACCCGGACTCGGGGAGAAGTTGATGGCCAGGAACCCTTACTAATAATTTATTCCTGTCCATTTCTCCATTAGGGCTTTAAAAGGTTCACCGGTGTGATACCCTTGAATAAAGGTGAGTGTTAGGTGGCAGAGCACTGTAAGTACCTTTTCACAGACCATTTTGTTGCCAAAGGGCTCTTTTTCCTGAACACATGCAACAATGCAAATATTTCACTTACTGATTTTCTAAGGGCCACTTTTTGGTTTACATTTCTCTAGCGACGAATACTTTTTTTTTTCTTTACCGTATGGCATAGATTCATCATCCAGTTTTATTGGGATAAATATGATCAGAGGCTGAAGAAAGCTCAGTAAATTGCCCAAAGTCACACACTTGTGTAACTTTGACCTCGAAGCCATTCCACTATGTAATGCTTCTTCCCATAGCAATCCTGAAAATATAAATTGTTTGAGGCTAGTCTTTCTGAAGAAGAAAAAAAAGACATATATTGTCTATTTGCAGCAATAGTGCTAGAGCTGCTGAAAAGAGATTGTGCCTTGTGCCTTCAGCCACATGGCATATCCACATGTCCTCTTTACTTCCTCCTCTTACTTGCTCTTAAAGCGACGAATACTTTTTGAAAAATCTTTTGTAACGCCCATATTTTTGTCTAAGCCCGGTTAAACCTTTCTCCCCCATTTTGCTACTGTCAGCTTCCCTACATGCTGGGCCTCCCTGATGGAGCTATTTTATGCAGTTCTAAATTTATTTTCTAGGTCTTTCCTAAACTATCCATCCTTGTATCTTTGAATGTATTAGATCCCTTCCCAGAATGGCTTCCCTTAATCCAGGTCTCCCTAAATTGGGAATGATGATTTCTCAGACTAGAGTCTCTGATGCTGGTTCTGATGTCAAAAATTAAGTTCTGACTCATTTGGGGAGAACTGGATACTTGGGTCTCTGAGGGCCAGTGGAAGGGCTGTAACTCTGCTTGTCCTCATTGGTTGTCCTGTTTTCATTCTAGCATGAGCTCTGGAAGCCCAGCCAGGGACAGTTCCCCTTCACAGAGATTTGCCACTAACGGGCTGAGAGCCTGAGGTTACGCTCTTGAGGCAGTGCTGTTGAGATGGCTGGGATGCCTAGGTAATGGTTCCTGCCACTTGAGGTTATGAAAAGAAGAGCCACTGTCCTGTCTTGCTACTGTGGTGAGTTTGCCTGTTTTTCTAACAGCCCAAGAGTGGTAGTGA